TTCAGCTCTTGGAAACATAGATCTGGTCTACACTACAGACCTATGTCGGCATAACTACGTCACTCAGGGGTGTGAAAAATCCACACCCCTGAGCGACGTAGTTAGTTACACTGATCGAACCTCCTCTTCGCTCACAAGGGTGCACTGCCCAGGGCAGGTGGAGGGTTCAGGGCTCCCCTCAGCAGACCAGACTGACCTGCTCCAACCCAGGCTCCGGGGCCCCGGCCCCACAGGCACTGCTCCCCAAGGACTCTGCTGGCCCTGGAGTCAGATCCCCCCACGTGGGCAGCTCTTACTGGCTGCAAACAGCCAGCGCCCCGATTCCTGCCTCCGACCTGGCCAGGAGGCAGGGCCAATGAGAGGGGCGGGGCCTTGTGGCAAGGGGGGCACAGTCCCCCTATTTTCCCTCTGGGCCCCCCACAGCCCCCACACCAGGAACAGGCTGGTGGCGCCCCAGTGCATAGGGACTATGTAGACCCCCCCTTTCTGTCTTTCTTCTCCCACTCTTTGTTTAGCAGTGAGCTCCTCAGGGCAGGGACGGTCTCTTACAGTACATACGTACCGGGCATAAAACAGTGGGGCTCTACTGGTGTTTCAGGACTCTAGCTGCAATGGGAATAAATTATAACGTGAATTGTCTTTTCCTTCCATTTCAGACTTTCTTCCTCATCTCATTTCCTTTTCCTTTGTCTATTTTACTTCCCCTTTGCATAGGCCCCTACATCTTTCCATTCCTTCTCCCCTGCTTTGCACACTCTTTCTCTCTCTCCCATCCTTTCTTTTCCACTCCCAGCTCTCTCTTTCCCTTAGTCCTCTCCCCCCTCCACCTTCTTTTTGTCTCGTGCCTCCCATCTCTAGCTCCCTTCTTTGACCCCTCCCCCAAGTCTCTGGTTGGCCCACTGTTGTTGAGATTTGCCTTCCTGGAGCAGACACTCCACCGTGGGGGCTGCAGGCCCAATTCCCTGCATCTGGGCTTCTCTCTAGATCCCTAGGAGCCACCCAGTGCTCTCTCACTGGCACTTAGGGAGAGGCCCCTGGAGCTCGTACGGCAGGCTGGAGCCAGTGGGACAGGCCGGCTAACAGTGCCAGTGGGGCCTGTGTAAACTGCCCAGCTGAGCCCTCCCCACTCACCGCTCTGAACTTCATGCCGTGACTTTCAGCAGAGAGTTTCTGCTCGTGCACTTGGCTTCCTTGTAGAGAAATGGAAACATTCTGCAGTGGATCATTTGCAAACAATTTTGTTTGATTTAATTCTTCCTCCTGTTGCAATAATTTCAAATAGTGACACTGAACTTTGTGTTTCAGGAGCTGCAGAAAATACTGCTGCTGTCTTTGTGGTGAATCAGACACCCCCTTCTATCCGTGCAATGGAAGGGTCAGAGTTCACCATCGAGTGTACATTCAACACAAGCAATAATTCAATCAAGTGGTTTGTTGAATGGTATAAAACCATAAACAATGTAACAGAAAAGGTGTCCAATGGAACAGATCGAATCATAACATCAGAAGTTAAAGAAAAGAGGTCTCTTTCCCTCACTGTGAAGAAAGCCGACGTCACGGATTCTGGAACCTACGTATGTGAGGTTGGGAACAAAGATGGGACATCTCGTGGGAATGGAACCCAAGTGACCATCGATCGTAAGTACCAGCATTTCCTTCTCTGTTCTGCAAAACCCCTTCTGGGGACCTCAGGACACTGGCCTGGTTCCAGAGAGCTGGGGCAGGTGGTGCTGGGGGAGGTGGAGCAGCACAAAGTGTAAAGGACAGAGCTGTGGGCAAAATTGGGGGACATCCTGTGGTACGTACAATGGTCCTGATCCTGCATTCCATTGATTTCTGTGGGGGTTTTGGCTGCACAAGGAATGCAGGGTCACGCCCCAGATATTCAAAAACTGTTTTGAGATGGGGTGTGAGGGGAGATTTCTAATTGGCTAAGCCTGCGAGGCCTTAAACGCAACTTGAGAGACAAGGTGGATGAGGGAATATCTTCTATTGAACCAACTTCTGTCGGTGAGAGGTTTTTTTTGAACTTACACAGAGCTCTTCTTCAGCTCTTGGAAACATAGATCTGGTCTACACTACAGACCTATGTCGGCATAACTACGTCACTCAGGGGTGTGAAAAATCCACACCCCTGAGCGACGTAGTTAGTTACACTGATCGAACCTCCTGTGTAGACAGTGGTGCAGCTGGGCTGATGCAGTGTTTTCAGTAGAGACGTGCCCTTACTCAGAGTGTTATAGGTAAATAAAAGGTGGAAGGGCTGGTTTAGCATAAGCAGTTAACACATATTTCAAGGGACCATTCAAGGCAGGGTGGCCCGTTAACACTTCTGCAGTCATAGGACAAAAATGGGGGTTAGAGGGTTACAGATTGTTGTAATAAGCCATAAATCCAGTGTCTGTTCAGTCCATGATTTTTAGTGTCTAGCAGAGTTATGAATTTAAGCTCCCAGGCTCGATTTTTGAAAGTGTTGTGCAGGCTTCCTTTGAGGATGAGAACCACTCTGTATCTGACCTGTGAGACGTGTTCCCCACAGGAGAAAGGGTGGTTTTGTCTTGTATCATTTTCCTGTGTGAGTTCATTCAAGAGCATAGTGATTGTCTGATTTCACCCACATCGTTGTTATTGGGGCATTTAGTGCGCTGGATGAGGTACCCCACAGGTTGTGATAGGCTTGTGTAGGATCCGTGGATCTTGAAAGGTGAGTTGTGGGGGGTGTTGATCATTGTAGCAGTGGAGTTATGTCTGCAGATTTTGCATCTGTTGTTCTGGCAGGATCTGGTGCTGCTTTGAGTTGGTGTGTCCTGGTCTGTGGGGAGCTTGCTTCTGATGATGCCCTTGGAGAGGCTGCGGGGTTGTTTGAAGGTCAGAAGTGGGGGTTCAGGGAAGACTTGTTTCAGGATGTGGTCCCCATCGAGTATGGGTTATAGATGTTTGATGATACCCCGTAGAGGTTCCAGTGTAGTGTGGTAGGTAGCAACTGGTGTGCAGTCAGAGGAGGTTTTATTTCTGTATTCAAGCATGTTCTCTCAGGGTATTTGGACAGCCCATTCCATGATGCAATCTACTTCTCTAGTAGAATGTCCTTGTTTGTTGCAGGTGGTTTTGAGTGCATTAAGGTGTGTATCTCAGACTGTCTCCTAGGAGTGTATTCTGTGCTATCTGAATGCCTGGCTGTAGATTACAGATTTCTTGGTTGTTTGGGGTGGTTACTGGGTTTATGAAGGGAGTTGTGGTGATCTGTGGGTTTCTTGTCTAGGGTTGTCTGTAGGGTTCCGTTGTTGAAGCTGATGGTGGTGTCCAGGAAGTTGATGCTAGTGTGGGAGTGTTCCCCAGAGAGTTTAGTGGCTGGGTGGTGGTTGTTGAAGTTGTAATGGAAATCCATGCAGGAGTTTAAGCATCGCATTTTGCTGTGGTGCTGGGAGTACGTCTCCCTGACCTGAGGAAGAGCTCTATGGAGCTCGAAAGTTCGTCTCTCTCACCGAGAGAAGTTGGTCCAATAATAGCTATTCCCTCACCCACCTTGTCTCTCGAATATCCTGGGACTGACACAGCTACAGTGCAGTCAACGTGATGGCATTTCTCTTGGTTTGTGACACGATAATTTGGAACCCCGCAGCCCATCAATTCCAACATTTCAGGGAGTATTGAAGGCATCACTGGGCAGAACTCTGTTGATATTGGGGAAATCAGAAAACCCAAAAGGGGAAAGTGGGGGACACATGGAGTGCCTGCTCCCTGTTTAGCAGAGTAACAGCTTGGAGCAAAGCACCTCTGTAACTGTCTAAATCAAAGAACCAGTTTGTGGCACCAATTAACACTTTCCAGTAGAAAAACATTCCTCTCTCATCTCTGCTCCTTCCCCCAGTCGAGTGTAACATGCTGACACTCTGGATGATTTATGTCCCAGGCAGAAAGAGAAGAAATAATAATAGTGGGGAAGGGAGGATGGGAAGGCTCACAGAGCCCCTGATACAGGGAGGATGGGGGACCTGGTCTGGGGATAATGCTGGAATGAGGGTACAGCCAAAGCCCCAAGCATGCAGGGAGAATGGGGGGCCCTGGAATGGTGGAAAGGGAGAGAATTAGGGCACAGAAAGCTCCTGGCTTGGGGCAGAATTGGGGACTGTAGCATGGGGGGGCGGGAAGAAATGGGGGACACACAGAGCTCCTGGCATGGGGGTGGGGGCTAGGGAGTCCCTGAAATAGAGGGGGATGGGAGGGTGGCCCCCAGGGACCTTGTGGGGACAGCGGTATGCAAAGAGTCCCTGGTGCATGCAATGTGCTTGACCTACAGAAGCAACAAAACGTGGGCATCCCTCTAGTTTAGCCCCCGCAGAATCTAACCCAAACCCACAAAGAGTTGAGCAGAGTCAGGATGAAGTTGTACGCTCAGTAATAAGTTGTTATTGAGTGTTTGCTTTGCAATGGTGCTTAGGGTACATCTTCACTACCCGCCGTATCGGTGGGTAGCAATCGATTTTTCCGGGATCGATATATCACGTCTTGTTAAGACGCGATATATCAATCCCCGAATGCGCTCACCATCGACTCCGGAGCTCCACCAGAGCAAGCAGCGGTAGCGCAGTCGACGGGGGAGCCGCGGCCATCGATCCTGCGCCGTGTGGACCCCAGGTAATTCGATCCAAGATACTGTGACTTCAGCTATGCTATTCGCGTAGCTGAAGTTGCGTATCTTGGATCGATCCCCACACCACAGTGTAGACCAGCCCTTTGAGGCCTCAACCAACATGTCAGGCCCACTGCGCTAGGCACTGTACACTAGAGCTGGCGGGTTCAGTTTGTGAGAAGTTTCATTGTTTCAGAACTGGCTTCATTCCAAACCAAGACAGATCAGGACTGCACCCGGGCCAGGGACCTGAGGGCTTCCAGAGTCCCAGAGGCCAGTTACAAGTAGAGCAGCCTGGGGAGTCACTGGCCCAGGACTCTAGAGGCCCTGGGATCTCCAGCCCGGGGCAGTCTGCATGGCGGAGCGACCCCAGAGCTGCACCCCTGGGAGCTGGTCCTGGAACTTCCAGGCTTCCAGCTCCATGACAGGGACACTGGAAGTGCCAAGAGCCCTGGCTTGAGCAGGGAGCCGAGCAGACAACAAGAGCCCCTAGAGATCTGTCTCTGCCTCAAAGTGGGGAGCCCACCCGCCCCGAGACTCGACTCCCGACTCCCCGAGCTGGGGCTTGCGGGACAGAAGAACATAAGAAGGGCAGACTGGGTGAGACCAAAGGTCCAGTCTTCTGTCTTCTGACAGTGGCCAGTGCCAGGTGCCCCAGAGGGAATAAACAGAACAGAGAATCATCCAGTGATCCATCCCCTGTCGCTCATTCCCAGCCTCTGGCATCCCCATCCCCGCCCATCCTGGCTAATAGCCATTGATGGACCATCCTCCAGGAACTTACCTGGTTCTTTTTTGAACCCTGTGGCTCTTGGAACACCAACAGAAACTGGTGTGTGTTTTGACGAAAGTGGAGTCAAATCTGTAGTAGATTTGGTGAATCAGTTCTCGTCAGTGCATTGACATTTTCAGTCTAAGGTAAATTTTGCCAGAACATTTGCAATCAGCTCTACTGTACATGGACATAGTGCGAGAGCCCCTGAGCCAGAGAATTTACACTCTAAATAGACAAGACAGACAAAGGGGGGAGATCGGGCAGACGTACTAACAGTAGATTGGGAAGTGAGACACAGAGAGATTAAAGGACTAAATCCACACAGGGCTTTAGGCCCTTAAATCCAACATCTGGGGGCCATGGAGATCCTCAAACCCCCTTCTCAGCTGCCGCCTAGCCCTGGAGCTGCTGAAGTTTCCACCAGTAAAACCAGTGCTAAAGACTTGCTGACACTCTCTCACTATGCTGTAAGCACAGCCCTGCCCAGAATAACAGTTGCACCCACAAGGTTCGGGTAAGACGTCACATTGTTGGAGGGGGGTTGTCTAGACTGAAGCTTCTGGGGTTACCTGCTCACTAAACAGAGCAGAAAAGTCTTGACATGCACGATACAGCTCTATATGGGGCCTAACGAAAGAACATCCGTTTAAACTCTTAACAAGCAGGGGAAACTAAATAGCAGGACTGGAGAGATTCATTTTGTACATCTGCCCTTGTCTGCTGGCACATTGAACTATTTCTCAATGAAGGTGCCATCATCTGTGTTTCTCTTTCTGCAGAAATTACTGACCTGATGGTGAATCAAACCCCAACCAGTGTCAGTGATTTTGAAGGCTCAGAACTTACCATGAATTGTACATTCAAGACAGTCAATAACAGCACCATGTATGTGCGATGGTATCACTATGGGACTGAGGGACTAAAGAAAGAGCTGGTGAATGAAAGCGATGTGATCACAACCCTGCATTTGGACAATGGGTTTGCCTCTCTCACTTTGAAGAATGCGAATTCATCTGATACAGGAACCTACGTGTGTGAGGTGGGGATCACAGCAAGGAACCTCTCTGGGAATGGAACAGGAACCCAAGTGACCATCGAGAGTAAGTGCCAGAATTTCCTACCTGATCATCTTGGGGAAATGGGGGCGAGTGAGTGAGAACAAGAACACACGTCTCCTGGAAGGTGTTGAGTGTCTTCAGTTCTACCTTCAATGGGAGCTGAGGGTGCTCCGCGCCGGCTCAGAAGCACTAAACTCCTTGCAAGATAGAGCCCTGTAGGCAGGTATTAATGGGGAACAATGTTTCCATTTTAGATTCTTTACAGCCAAATGTTTCACATGGCCTCAAATTAGTCTCTAAACGTATGCTTGCCCACGTTGCATGCACACCCATTGGTACATTCAAAGCCTGCCTGCGTGCCCAGACTGTACATTCGGGGGGATGGAGGGGAGGTGCGGGGATGGTTTGCTGGTCTTGACCGGCATCATAAAGCTATGAGTTGAACTAAGTGAAAGCATCAATTTAACCTCTGATAAGCAGGGGATGTTAAATGGACAGGCTGGGAAAAGAACACAAAATACTGGAGGGGGAGACATTTCTTTTAATACATCCCCAGTCACCAGCCATTTCCACTGAAATTCTCCTGAATCAAGGTGCAATCTTGTCTGTTTCTCTCCTGCAGATTTTCCCGAGCTGATGGTGAATCAGACCCCAGCCAATATCCCTGTGTCAGAAGGGTCAGATCTCACCATGGAGTGTAGATTCACGGTATGGAATAAACACAAGACCTTGTATGTGAAATGGTATAAACATAATGGAACTGGGGGAACGAAGAAGGAGCTGATGAGCGAAAGAGGCGGGGGCCCAGCAGCTCTGGCTTTGGAAAAGGGTTTTGCTTCGTTCACTCTGAAGAACGTGAATGTAACTGATACAGGAACCTACATGTGTGAGGTGGGGAGCACAGCGAGGAACTGGTCTGCGTCAGGAGCTGGAACCCAAGTGATCATCACTCGTAAGTATCAGTATTTTCCTATCTGATCTTCCTGCTGTGAGAGACAGCGAATGGCAGCCTAAAGGACAAAGAATGAATGACTGTAGCTGGCAAAAGCGGGTATCAATTCTCAGGTGGGTCCAGTATATAACCCATAAAAATATGGGCTCCAGCCTGTGAGGAGCTGAAGATAACATAGTTCAAAATACCTAAGTGATTTAGGGGCTTCCAATTTTCAGAGGGGACTTAGGCACTTGCAGGGCAGATTTTTAAAGGCGTTTAGGCACCAAAAGTTGTAGGTGGGCTTTTCAAAAGCACCTCAGTACCTAACTCCCATTGAAATCAGTCAGTTTTGCCAACAGGACTTAAGCTCCTAAGTGACTTAGGTACTTTTGAAAATTCCCCCCAAATGCCCCTGGAGAGGGGTGTTCAGAACCTCCCAGGACTCAGACCTGTCATAAGAACATTAAGGAGGGTGATGAACCTAACTCACAACTGCACTGGATGGGATAAGAAGCAGTCCCCAATGTCCATCTGCACCCGGAGCTAAACCGATCTTATGGCTAAAGAGTTGCTTCTTGTTCTGTGAGAACATCTTCATCCATCATCGAATACATCCCTGTATGGAAAGTATGTAGAAAAGCTGGAAAGGATCCAGAGGCGAGCGACAAAGATGATCAAAGGGATGGAATGCAGCCATATGAGCAATGGCTGGGTATGTGCAGTTTGGAAAAGAGAAGATAAAGGCGGGGGACATGATAGCGATCTTCAAATCCTTGAATGGCTGCCATAAAAAAGGTGGAAAAAAGCTGTTCTCTCTTGCCACAGAGGGCAGGACAAGAGGCAATGGGTTCAAACTACAGCACAGCAGATTTAGATTAAATCTCAGGAAAAACTTCCTAACTGTGAGAATGGAACAGACACCTCGGGAGGTTGTGGAAGCTCCTTCACTGGAGGTTTTCAAAAGGAGGCTGGAGAGCACCTGTCTTGGATGGTTCTCAAACTGTGGGACAGGACCCTAAAGTGGGTCACAACCCCATTTTAATGGGGTTGCTGGGGCTGGCTAAGACTTTCTGGGGCCTGGGGCCAAAGCCAAAGTCGAAGCCCCACCGCCAGGAGCCGAAACCCAAGAGCTTCAGCCCTGGGCAGTGGGGCTGAGGTTATGGGCCCTCTGCCTGGGTCTGAAGCCCTTGAGCTTTGCCCCCCCCCCCACCTGGGCCAGTGGGGCTGGGGCAGGCTCAGGCTTCGGTCCCCCCTCCTGGGGTCGTGTAGTAATTTTTGTTGTCAGAAGGGGGTCACCAGGGTGGCTCCAGGCACCAACGCAACAAGCGTGTGCCTGGGGTGGCAAGCCACGGGAGGCACCCTGCCAGTCGCTGTGAGGGCGGCAGTCGGGCAGTTTTCGGCGGCCTGCCTGCGGGAGGTCTGCCGGTCCCACGTCTTCAGCGGCAATCCGGCGGCGGGCATGCCAAAGGCGTGGGACCGGCAGACCACCCGCAGAAACACTGCCAAATCCGTGTGACCAGTGGACCGTCCGCAGGTGTGCTGCCGAAGGCTGCCTGACTGCCGTGCTTGGGGCAGCAAAAAACATAGAGCCGCCCCTGGGAGTCACGGTGCAAGGAAGTTTGAGACCCCCTGGTTTACACACAACAAATCCTGCATCTTGCCAGCGGGGGAGACTAGCTGACCCTTGTGGCCCCTTCTAGCCCTGTGGCTGTAGGATTCTATGCCTACGTGGCATCTGCACTATGCGGGCATGGCAATATGTACAGAGAGGTTCTGCTGTAACTCTCGATGGCCATCCACCGATCTGGTTCTAGCTCTGAAGGATCCTTCCCTCTGCCAAGTGAAGAGGAAAACCTCATCTGAAAACCCCACATCCCGGTCATGATAGATCCAACGTTTCTAATGCCGATTGCTTCCTCTAATCTCACAATTCTCACTACTGGCAATGGGGTGAGCACGTGCTGCTGGGAAAACGGAGCAGTGATACATATTGCGTGTATTGTTCTGATGATTTTTGTTGCAAGTGGAAGATGCTCAATTGACATCCTGTGATTGAGAACAGGAGAGTGTAACATGAGCTGCTCTCAAGTAGCAATTTGTGGCCAGAGGCCACTTTTCAGCACCTTGCCTGTTTCCCCCTCTTCACGGCCCTTTAACAACTCATTCCGTTTAAAGGTAATTCAAACCATCACCTCCTGCAGTCCAATAAATTGAGTTCCCAGGGGCATCTTGGCCCTCGCGGCCCCAGTGCAGTGTCTCGCTCCTGATAATCCAAAACAACACAGACTCTTTCAAAAATAGAACCCAAACTCACCCAGTCTT